CTCAGTGAGGCAGGGGGCCCCGCCACGCGGCGTACCCAGAATTCACACCTCGCGCCCCGCAGGCCTGTCTGCAGCCAGCACCAGGCCTGGCAATTCCCTAGATGGGGTTTTCCTCTGGGGCTGGGTGCGCCCATGAGGCCCCAGAGAGCCTACCGCAGCCCCTGAGTCAGCAGAACCAGGCTGGGGCGGGCACACCCATGGGGGCCAGGGACCCCCCTTCCCACGGCCTGCGGGGGAGCAGAGCTGGCTGTGATCTCTGCCCCGCTGTGTGCTGCGTCGTGGAGATGCATCGGTTTCTGCGTCCTTGGGAAGGCGTTCAGGGGTGGCAAAGAGGAACAGAGTGGCTGACGTTACAGCGGGGCGGGTAGGGCCCTAACATGCCAGCGCTCCTGGATTTGGAGTCGTCTGGGAGGAAAGTGCCACACTCAGGCAGGCAGGGCTATCTGGGTACCCCCGTCCCAGGCCGGGGCCATATCGAGCAGGCTGTAGAGTGACCAACGGGGCTGCCCCTCACCCCGGCACAATTCTGTGTCTGCGAGAAGGTGCCAAAGATTTGCCTTTTGTTCCAACTGGAGCGAGTCGGAAACCCTCCGACATGGCCCGGAAACAGACCAGCCCGCTACCTCCCATCGGGGTGATCCCGTCTCGCCCCGGCCAAACCACGCTGGGATGGGGGCTGCTCAGTCCCTGCCTGCCCAGGGCCTGATCCTGGCTCCCACAGCATATGAGCAACTCCCATTTGCGGTCTTGTGGCTGCTGGCACCAGCCCCTTCCAGCACCCAGCTCGCGGGCACCTTGGCCTAAAGCTTGAAACCTTCCAGCTTCTTGGGTGCGCAGCAGAGTTTAATCACAGAGGAGGAATTCAGCCCGGGGCCCTACCTGTGCAGGCCCAGACGCTCCAGCCCCGAGAGCTGGGTCAGAGAGCTCCGCAGCGGGTTCCTGGGAGGGTCAGCATGCTGGCACCAGCCCCTTCCAGCACCCAGCTCGCGGGCACCTTGGCCTAAAGCTTGAAACCTTCCAGCTTCTTGGGTGCGCAGCAGAGTTTAATCACAGAGGAGGAATTCAGCCCGGGGCCCTACCTGTGCAGGCCCAGACGCTCCAGCCCCGAGAGCTGGGTCAGAGAGCTCCGCAGCGGGTTCCTGGGAGGGTCAGCATCTGGGGACAAGAGGCCACAATCAATGGAGGGAGGAAATTCAGAAACTCCCAGGGCCAGGCTGTCTCACTGTCACTTAGGATCTGTACACACTGCGATCAGCAGGAGTGACCGCAGCCCGGGGAGATGAACCCAAGACAGCTTGGGAGCCAGAGTGAGACCATGGCAGCCAGGGCTTGGCACAGACTGTACCATCCTACCCCGGACGCTGGGTAATGACAGGGCCACCAGCCTGCACTGAAGCACACTCTACAGGTATCTGCGCTGGCCAGCTGAACGCTAGCTCTCCTATGTTCACACGAGCTGAACTGCAGCATGGATGGACCACCCAGGGCCACAGTGGTTTGAACGCTGGCCTGGGAGTCAGAAGATCTGGGTTCAGCTCTTTGCTTTACCAGTCTCCCTCTGTGGCCCTGGGTGAATCACTTAGCCGCTCCGTGCCTCAGTTTCCCCTCTGTACCACGGGGATAACAGCCCTGCATTGTGGAGATAAATATGGCAAAGAGGGAGGTGCTCTGATTCTGGGCTAATAGCCCTGCTCCAGTGGGGCCGTCATGGTAACCCAGGCTCAGACGTAGCCTAGACGGCAAAGCAGCCCCCGATAGCCAGTTTCACGGTGGCGGATGGAGAAGGGGCTGTCTGTTTGCATCCCTGGGACCTGTCCACCCTCCTGTGTGGCCCTGCCATGACCCGGCCGCTGGCTAACAGCAGGGGAGATGTCACAGCCAAGAGCTCCAAGAACCGTGGTGTAGGCTGGCTCCCACCCCAGGGCAGGCCCCAACCCCGGGGTGCCACATCCCGACAGGATACCCCTCCTGAAAAGCTTGTGGTGGCTCCTCGGGCCCTCCTCTGACCGTCCAGTCCCCTCTTCTCAATGCAACTGGATCTTCCATCCAAGCTCCCTTGCACAGGCCTGGGGGCTTTCTGGATCTGGGGGATGGCCCCCTTGTGGGGGAGGGAGAAGGGGTGTGGGTGGTTTGGGACAGTTCAGGGAGGTGGGGAGCATCAGAACCCTTTCCCCAGCTTTATCAGGACTCGAGTTCACCCCGTGTGGCCCCTCCTGCGTCTTCATCTCTTCTTACCCAGATGATCCCACCCAGCAGCGCTGGGATGAGCTAATGCCAATCCACTTAGACTCTGAGTCCTGCGTATGCAGAGGCCTGGCTCCGGACCAAGGAGCTGAGAGCCTCTGACGCAGCCTCTGGTCCCACCATGCCTGGAAACGCCATGGGAGAGGATTTCTCGTCAGTTACGTAGGCATGTGTGGGAACTAGCGGGGACCATGGAAAAAGCAACAAAGGCCTTGTGAGTCTGATCCCCCAAGGAAGAGATTCAAGGCTGGTAGCGTGGTCAAAAGCACCATGAATGCCAGGGAGGGGCCAGAACAGCGTGGCTCTGGGCGCCTTGGAAACTCGCCCCGCTAATCTGGTTTGGAGGGTTAAATCCACGCACGAGGCACCCCGTCAGATGCCCACCTGCATCCGCCCCCAGCAAGAGAAGTGGGTGAGCCAAAGGGCGAGGGTGCTGGGGGAGTTATTGGGCAGAGTGGTCTGTCGCTGGTGGAGTTGGGGATAAGTCAGCCCCTTGCTTAAAGGGGGCGGATGTCAGATGGGGGAGAGGTCGGGTTAACATTCTTGCTTAGCCAGTGTGTGAGGACCCTTTGCTCATAGACCAGGACAGTCCCACCTGCCCCATTGGTCCTCCCAGCCCCAAGGGCACAGAACGGCATGGGACCCAGTGGCCGAGGGACAAGGGAGGAAGCTGGAGAAAGGAAGGAGAAGAAAGAGGGAAAGGGGATGGAGGGGGAGAGATCAGAGGAGACGAAAGCCCAAAGGGCTCCGTGAGGGGAGGGGAAGAGCCACACCAAAGACAGAGTCACTCACCAACCTTCATCACTTTCACTGCTGTCCCCCGACTGCACGCTCAGCTCCCTCCTGCCAGCCCCATCCGCCTTGCCTCCCTCCTGGGCAGCGCGGGCCGCGATCGAGGGGGAAAACACCAATTAGCACAACACGCCGAGGAGTAACATGGCTTGCTCCATGCGGACGGGTACGTCTGCACAGCAGTGTTGTTTCAGAACAACGGATGTTATTCCAAAATAATGTATTGTGCGTCTACACAGCAAGCCCGTTATTTCCAAAAAAATTCGAAATAACGGGCTTCTGACTCCGACCTCTGTGACCCTCATTGCACGAGGAGGATGGGCTAAGCTGGAGGAAGAGGGCTCTGTTTCGAAATAAGTGCTGCGGAGATGCTCCCAATTTCGAAATCAGCTATTTTGACTTAAGCTTTGCCATTAGCGCCGCTCAAGGTGCGTCGCTTCTTCCGGGTTTGGCCCAGCTGTGTGGACGTGCCCTTAGCGAGCAAGCTGGGGGCGTGATGAGTCCGCCCGAGGGTGCTGCCAAGCAGCTCCACTCCCAGGAGGTGGCACTGTAGAGAGCAGGGCAGAGGGGCTGTCTCCGAGGGGAGTAGCCAGGGTGTCCCCAGAGGGCGCAGGGCAGCAGAGCTCTGGCTAGTCCAGCACCATGCTCTGCCAGACAAACCAGCTGTGGAGAATGGGGCCAGGCTATTGGCGAGCTGTGAGCACTTGTCTCCTTCCACATAAAGGGAGAAATTCCATGCTGGGTCTGGATTAATGGGAGCAGGCAATGGGGGGTATGGGGAGCATGTCTTAGGAAGGTAGGTGAAATCCCTTCCATAGTCGGGGGGATTCAGAACTCACCCCCTCCTCTCACCTCCTCTGTAAGCTCTGTGCTCTGCCTTCTCACGGCTGACACCCCTCCAGAGTCTCCCGGGGAATGGGTCATCGTCCCTAGTGAGAAGGCAGGAGAACGGCCCACGAGAACTCGGAGTTCACCTCTATCCCAGGGGAGCAGGGGCACCTGGCAGCGCCCTTCTTGCTAAACCCACCGCCAGCAAGGAAATGCAGAGTCCTCAGGAACAGGCAAGCTTCAAGTTGCTGCGGCGAGCAATCCCTGTAGAGAAAGACCCCCGTGTGCTTTGGGATCCTTTGAGGGGAGGGGGGCGAAGGGAATCCAGAGTCTGAGCATTAACATGTTTTGATTGTTGAGACAGAGCGAGCGACGGGCGAGAACCCAGCTCCGCATGGGCCTCAGGGTTACCTAGTGGCTGGGTGGCTCTCACCCCAGATTGCACCAGGGGTCTGACCTGAGTGGGAAGGATGCTAAGCCCTGCCCCCTCTGAAATTCTGGTCCCGCTCAGATAAACGTCACTGCACATGCCCTAACTGGATGCACACGCCCTCATCCAACAATGCTGCCCCTGCTGGTGAGAGCAGAGATGAGCTACCTGGGATGCCCACCGGCAGCAAGGCAAAACGGTTGTGCCACGCTGACCCCTACTGGGGAGGACAGGTGCGAACTAATGGTGACAGGTGCAGTGTCACCGCAAATGACTGATGGGAACAGCTTAGAGCATTTGTGGGGAGCACAGAGCGGCCCAAACATCCTTCTGAGTTAAACCCCCAGCCTGCCAAAAGCAAAGGCCTGGCAGGTAGCTGAATCGGTGCTGACCTGGGGGCACCCAGGACACAGGGGCAGCTCAGTCTTGGCAGAACCAGCAGCTATGGCAGGAGTTGCCCTGCAAAAGCATAACAGCGGTGTGCTCTCCCCTGCACAGGTGGCAAACCCC